CTTGAAGACCTGCCAGCTCTGTTCTGCTCCCTTGTCCCTGAGGGCCATTTCCCAGGGGGTCCTGTTGATTAACTCCTTGAAGAGCTGCAAGTTTGCTTTCCTAAAATTCAGGGTCCTGATTATACTCTTCACCCAACCCTTACCTCTCCGGACTGTGAACTCTGTATGTGATCACTGCAGCTGAGGCTGCCTCCAATCCTGACATCACCAATGAGCTCGCTTACATTGGGGACCACCAGGTCCAGTAATGCATCCCCTCTGGTAGGGCTGTCTCGTACCTGGCTTAGGAGGAGTTACAGTTTAGGTGTCCGAAATATCTCCACAGCCAAAACCTTTAATTTCAGTCCTGACAGAGGGACCGGACCTGACAGAGTACTGGGACATGAGGTGAAGCACAATCACAGCTGAGACAAGCATTAACACCTGCCTAACACTAAGGCAGGAGGTCTGTTTTCACAACAAAAATGTGTCCAAAAGCAGCATGATTCGGGCTGCCCTGGTATGGAAGAAAAGCCACAAGCCAGTGTGACCCTACACCAGCAGGGCAGTGCCAGCCCAGACCTAAGTTCTCCAGCTTTTATAATTCTTTAGTTCTGGTTTGCCCAGCTACAAAACCTAGCAACAGAGTTTGAAAGTTTCATACAGTTTGTTTCAAGTCCAAAAACTACAGCTCACACTACCAAAAAATATTTATTCGGTTATACAGCAAGAAGTGTTTGTTACTATTATCACTAGTTTTAGCAATATGTCTCTCAGATGTCTTCAGTTTACATCATGGAACTAAAAGAATCATAGTCAAATTTGTTCATTATATTACAAGTTTTAAGCAGTTTAATGGTAATTTCTCTTAGAATAGTTTAGCAAACTTCAACCTTTCTCCTATGATTTCTTCATATTTTTTTTTTGTAATTAATCCATTTACTAAAATACTCAATTTCTGGTTTTTATGCATAGTGCAAAGGTAGGAGATTGAATTCAAGTTTTCTGGGATTTCAGAAACTGTACAGCTTTTGTTTTTGTCACATCAGGTACACATTTATTCCTTAGTTACTTTAAAAAATAAATACATCTTCACAAGCTACCAGCTCTTCTATATATCTCCTTGCATCTCTTTGATCATGCTCCTCCAACCATTGAATAATCCATTGGTAATTATAACTTCTTAGCTTCTTTAGCCTAAAAGGGACCAATTTATCACAGACTGTCATGAATCCTGTTTTTAAATTATCAAGAGTCCAATTACCAACAGGAATGGCGATACCTCTTTCCAATTAAAGTGACTGATTTCATGTAAAACCTTGTAACATTTCACTTTTTAATTAGGTACATCCTTATCAAATACAAAGATGTTCACCCTCATTTTATCTTCTATCCAGAGAATGAAATACAGCAAACACTAATCATACACCAATATAGTGCCAGACCTAATAATGCTTTCAGCGTACTTTGACAACTGCTAATCCACCAGTGTACGATGTCTTTTATTCCTGTTTCATTCCAAACGTTTACTTGAAAGTCAAGAATAGGCTTAAACTTTTTACATCCAAACATCCTCAGGTACATCTAAAAATATTAAGCCAGTTACAAGCTGAAAAGAAAAACAGGATTAAACAGAAATAGGAAAAAAAATATGAAAATACAGAGTGTCAGCTGACACAGGGTCAGGACTGTCCACACTGCTGTCCATATGAATCATTTCTCTCCACTAGAATTACTAAATAAGCATGAAGCAATCCAGACTTCTAATTCTTATTTAATTCTTTTGTGCCTGGCTTAGAGATGGTATCACAACTGCCATGGAAAGACCCTATGGTTGACACCTGACAGGAGTCTCCTGGGACAGGGTACCTTCCTGATCTACAGTTCTCACCAGGGCCAAAGCACTCCTCACTGTGCAGGGCAGGAACAGAGGGAATGCACAACCTCCTCAGCAGCTTTCTCTTTTCAGGCCAGGCCTGGGAAAGACGGTGGCCAGGGCATTTTATACTACAAACTAAAGAGAATGCTAGCAACTGCTTTTGTGAAATCAAACACAAAAGCTAAGAGATGTAATAGAGACAACTCACTGGGAGAGGAATTGAAAGCACTGTTCATTCAAAAGAGCTCATCTTACAATTCCCTCTCTATATGCACAAACTCAGATGAGATCAGTGTTCCACTTCTACTTTTCAACACCTTTGAATGCCTCAGGAGTATTCATATCACTCCAAGAAAAGCCCTACTTCCAAACACTGCAGTTATTGACCCAGCTTGGAAGTGCTGACATAAGGGAAACAGATCCAGACTTTCAGCAACCTCTTGCTGAAATTCTTCCTACTAATCTGATGAGGGGAAATAAGATTTCTGTCCACCATGGCTCAATACCCTGATTACACCTTTCAGGGATGATGCTTGGAAGGGCAGAACCATTGCATGGATGAGTCTGAAACAAATCTCAAATAACTAATTCTTTCAGCACATGCTCCAGTCTTCCCAG